GAAGTATATCTACCTATAGAGATTTATCTATTATGGACTTTCTGTTAACCCTTGTCTCTCTAGATTTGTGGGCGTTGGCAACGCCTTTGTCCAATACACCATGGAACTGGAGACGAACTGGATGCAGCAGCAGCCGCATGGACTCATGATGCTCGTGCGTCTCTCTATGCGCATATTGATGCAGGTGCTCTGCCTGAAGAGCCACGTCTACGGCACGGGCGCCCTGTCGCCACTGGAGGCGCTCATCTATACGCAGCCCAAGCAGCGGGACACGTTGCGCATCATACCCACTGTGTGCAGCTATATGAGCAACATATTTGATCGCTGGCTGCCCATCGTGTCCTGTCGACTGTTGAAGCGCATTGCTCTGGAGTTTAATATGTCGCTGTTGGCCTGCCTGGACATGGAGGCAGATCAGATCCGACTCACGTTCATGCAGAAGATGCCCGATCAGCTGGAGAGCGATTCGATTAAGATAGCCATACTGGAGCTAGTGGATGCCTGCATAGCCAAGCAGCCAGGCGTCACAGAGGCCTTCTTCAAGGTCAACTATGCGAATGATAAGCGCTCGTTCTTCGGCAAGGAGTGCACGCCCAGCATTGGGGACAGCATTGTCACCTACATGAAGGAGTTTCTCGATGGCCTCGAGGAGGTGCCGCTGATCATACAGCAGACGTTGCCCTGCAAGGTATTGAACATCTTTCATTCGCTGTGGAAGCACAATCTGAAGATGCTCGTGGATGAGCTGCTTAAGCAGCCTCACTTCTGGAGAAAGCTATGCAGTCCGCTCTTGACCAAGCCGACCAGCCAGCCCCAAATGAGGGTCTACACGCAGCTGATAAACATTATCTCCATCGAGATCTACAGCACCGGCAGCAAAAAAAAGACCGACCTACGCGAAGTGATGCAGAAGTTCTTCGAGCTCGACTGCTTCCAGCAATGGCTCGACTATATCTTCAATTTGCCCAAGGTTCCGGCTAAGCAGAGCTGCAACGAGGAGCTGCCCGACTGGATATGCTGTTTGCAATCGTTTAAGGACTTAATTGTCATATTGCTGAAGAAGCAGCCCACGTTCATCACGATACCCGATGCCCAGTTCAAGCTGCTGGCCAAGAAGTGTCTGACAAGGCTCGTGGACCGTGCCAACTACTTGGAGGACATGCGTCCCTTCATCATGCTGGCCGAGCTGTACATATTCATACTGCTGCAGTTCAAGCAGTCCTACACGAGCAGCAGCGAGGAGGAGAAGGAGCTCATGGAGCAGCTGGAACAACTAATCCTACGCATCTGCGCCTGCTACGAGGACTTGCATGTGCGCGCCAAGGAAGCGTGCCTGGCCATCATAACCAAGTGTGCGCACCTCTATGCGAATCTCCTGATCAAGGAATCTAGTATATCGATGCGCTTTCTCAACTCTGTGGTTACCATCATTTCAAGGGAGCTGCTCGATATGGAGAAACCACAGGCGCCACTGAAGCCGCCACTGAAAACCCCGCCGCAGGAAGCCAACGATGGCACCGTAACCACAAATTCGCTCCTCTTGTGCCTTAATCTCCTGAAGACAGTTGCGACCATCTTTACTATGGATGGACCCGGTAACTGGGATTTGCCGTTCTTGTCGGTGCGTCTCTTCCAGCGTCTGCTGCACAGCGTCTCGCAGACGCTGCCCGTCCATAACAAGCGAACGCTTAGCATCCAGTTGCTGGACGTGCTGATCGTGTTCGCCAAGAGCAACTGCTCCACAGAGTTTCTGTACTGCGACATGGGCGAGCATCTGTGGCTGAAGCTGCTGCCGCCACGCGAACTGCTCCATGCGAAGCTCTCATTCAAAAAGTCCACAAAGGACAACGTCTGGACTATGGAGCAGTGGTGGCCCATCTACTCGCGTGGCATTGAGCTCGTCAACATCATCTACGACAAGCACAAGAAGTGCTTCCTGCAGGAAGTCATTCAATTCGTGGGCATACATGAGGTTTATCTGGTGGACTCCCTGCTGCTGGGCAAGCAGTCCCTGGAGCCCGCGGCCATGAAGCTAATCAAGGCGGCCATCTCCCTAGTAGCCAGCTTAACGAATGATCACAAGGAATGGGCGCAGGAGAACTGCTCATCCATGCTCAACATTATGGTAAGTTGAGGCAACCTACATAGATGCATCTCACTCTTATAATTTTTATTTAATTCGTAGAATGCTGTCCAAGGCCTGATGTGCCACGCCATGTCCATGTTTCATCAGCAGCGCAACTTGAAATGCTTGCTCGCCGGCAGACGCTCGCAGCTGGAGATGTTGCGCAACATGGAATCGATTACCATTGATGATGATATGATCAATGCTTGTAATGAGTAAGTTGTGGAATAAGACTGAGCTCAGCGCAAGCAACTAATAACTATCTGTTTTTCCGCAGCCTGACTGACATCATTATATTCTGTGTTAAGGCAATGCAAAAGTTTAGTCCCGATCTGTTGGACATCCTTTGCTGCAGCTACTATGAGCCGCACAAGTGGCAGCCGTTGCTGGACGTTAAATTTGGAGCGCCTAAGCTGAATGAGAGCAGCTTAACTCTCACCTTTGGCATGGTGCTCAACATGGTGACCATCTACGTAAAAGCATTGACTATGGTGAGTGGGAGGATTCGAGATGCATTATATTTAAGCAATATCTATATAAATATTTTTCTTTTTACACAGCAAAATCACGGCTTCCACGAGGTGCCGCTCAATACGCTGCCCAGTGTGGAGATTGGCGAGGCGACAGGCCGCATTGCCTCGGGTGAGACGTCTCAGGGCCAGCGCAGCTTCTCGCACTCTGTGTCCACTGCCGGCTGTCCGTCGAGCGAATTGCTCTCCAATTTGGATGGCCAGCTCTGCCTGGTGGCGCTGGAGCATCTGCTCATGCTGGTGGCCTCGCAAAGCATCTATGTGATACGCTCGCCGGAACTGGAGCCGCGCTGGAAGCAAATTGTGCGACGTGACATTAGCAGCGACCTGCTCAGCTTCCATGAGTTTGTGCGTCGCAAGGTGATCGTGGACTATCGGGACGCACGCTGTCAGTGGGTGCGGCGCAAGCACGGGTTGCTGAAGTTTAGGCCACAGAATGTGGGCCGAAGCCCGGCTATTGCCTCCGGCAGTCAGCGCGGCAACGAGGTGGCACGTCGCAGCACCACCGCCAACGAGCTGCGCGTGAATGTGGTACGGCGTCTGCACTTGCAGCAGCATCCCCAACCACTGCAGCCACAGTCTGGCAGCTTGGAGATGACTCGCATGCTAAGCCCCATTGCAGCGCCTCATTCAGGTGGTCGCCACCAGATGGCAGCATCTACGCCGCAGGACTCAACAGATGTTAGCGAAACCCAACATGAGAACAGAAAACGCTTGTATGCGGCAGAGTCAATGGCGCTTGAGGTGCAGTACTTGCCCCCGCCCACGGAGCCCATCTATTGCGAATTGTCCCAGGTGCAGCTTGTCGAGGAGGATTATCTCCAGCTGATGTCTGCGCTGTTTAGCGTTATACCACAAACCGAATAGGATTCTAGTTTAAGCTAAAATAGGAATATAATTTAGCTTAAGCTTGTATTTTCATGTGAAATCATTAGGAAGTTTGTAAATTGTATACATGTTTAAATAAAGAATAAACAATTTGAAACTATTCATATGATTTTTCTTTATTGGGTGCTAACATTTTCTGCAGGGTGTAAAATTTTTCATTGCATACTTCTGAGACGATCACACAAATGCAAATCCATTTATATCATAGCATACTTTTCGGCTGTGCGGTAATTCAACGCAAATTTGTAATGTTGCATACTTTTGGGATGGCCCTAAACTTGCATATTTTAAATTATGCAGCATACTTTTAGCGCTAGAGTTTTAAAGTCTAGCTCATCATAGTCAGACGCAAATTTTTGTTGAAACTCGACTGATTTACCAGGCGAACAGAAATGCCCAGCAGGTGGAATATTTTGTTTACATTTTGATTTTAGTTTATATTGAGTGCGCTGCCAATTAACAGCTAGTGAGAACAATTCTGTTATTTAACATAAAGTTAACAGAATTCTGTTAATTAACATAACATAATTCTGTTATTTAACATAAAGTTAAAAGAATTCTGTTAGTTAACATAAAGTTAAAAGAATTCTGTTAGTTAACATAAAGTTAAAAGAATTCTGTTAATTAACAGTAGTCAATTCTGTTAGTTAACATAAAGTTAACATAATTCTGTTAGTTAACATAAAGTTAACAGAATACTGTTAATTAACATGCCGTTAACAGAATTCTGTTAGTTAACAGTCGAGTGGCGGCAAACCGATAGTAATTATCGAATTGTTGAGCGGTTGAATTTAAAATGATCAAATAATCAAGCAGAGAAATACGTTATTATGCACAGATATCAAATGCCTACAATTAAACGAATTTTGAAAATCTTTGACTGCCAATCGGTGTGCCCTACCAAAGACTTCACGAATATGGTCAACTAACTGCTGCCTTTATTTCCGTAAAGAGCTGGATCTGTGCAAAAAATATGCGTAATGAATTCGTGCAAAAACTGTAATTAAAATGACATAGAGCAACTATAAAATCAGCAATTTGACTTTACAGCTTGTAATCTGTTCAAGTTCTTTATCTGTCAATCACTCAGCTATTTAGTAGCTCAAATAGTATTTAGTCGGCAAGTGACGTCATTTGGCGTCCGACGAGCCCCCAACTACGTCAGCTGAGAACGTGTCGCCCACGCGGTTTCAGCACACTCTGTATTACCCGCTCTCTCTCGCTCGCTCTCTCTGTCTCTCGCGGACTCTTTCTGTTGCCGGGTCACATTGGTTACTCACAAGCTAAACAATGCCACGCAAAATGAAAGAAGTCTCAACGCCGGCGACGTCGTCGTCGTTAACGCAGTTTTCGCTGCTGCCAGCTGAGCTGATTATGTGTTTAGCACTGCGGCCAGCCGTCATTTCAGTACCTTGTGGGCCGTCACAGAGAACGCATGTGCAGAGGCAGCAGAGTGAATTGAGCCAGATAAAGATACACGCACCTCAAACAACAGTTTACAGTTAAGCGTTTTGTCCCCCCCAACAAGAAAAGTCGTCAGCAGCTGTTTGTCTTATTGTGATAATGTTTAAAGGTGTGCCAACGCTTGCGAATTTGAATTTGCGTTTGCTCAGCAGCCACACGGCCAAGGGTCGCGCGTGTTCTGGCCGAGTGGTGCAGTGCCGCAGCAAGGCAACGGCCACATCCCTCGACCTCAACGAGGCCAATGGCAATGGCCAGATCGATGTCGATGTCTACAGCGAGCAGGACCTACTGAAACGCGACAAATTCCGGCATCGCGGACTCGATGTGCAGCAGAAAATCGCATCTGAGGTGAGTGGGCAAGGCTCCTGTAGCCGAAGCGGAAACAGCTGATATCATCCATTCGACTTTCCTTCATTGTTTATTTTTGGGGGTTGACGCCACAACAGGCGTTTCGTGATTGCGTTTCACATCGCATTACTATCGATTTTTACACCACATGCCCAGCCTAATCCAGATACTATAAAATGGCGAAATTCGCCGAATGAAATCGAGACTGTTTTCATAAGTCTGAACTTACATAGAAGTATTTCGTCGCCAGACAGTAATCTGTCCAAGTATATACACAAGTGTATAGTCAGTCGGCGCTCTTATCTATTTACCTAAGAGTTACGTGCCCGAAATATAATAGAAGTTCAGGTTTATATCATGCGTTCATTTACTTATCTTATCAGGTGGGTACATCTGCTGTGTGCAGCGATGACTACCGGAAAATCACATTGGGAAATTAATCATGACGTCGCTTTGTCAGTATTTTATGATCTCGTCACATCTTAATACAATTACAATTACTATAGCTATATTAGATGTTGATTACATATGGCCCGATATTGACATGATACGTATTAACGAAACATTTACTCTGGCCAAAATTTATGATTCATGATATGTGTTAATACGACACTCGAACCGCCCCACATGCCAAAGTCACGAGAAAAATGTCACAAAAAAGAAATCCCAATAAGCGCTAATATATGTATATATATATTATACACATACATATACATACAGGGCTCTAGTAACATACAAATATACACAATTATATATACAAATCTGATATATGTATAAACATGCGAATTCTAGAAAAAAAAAACAATGCGAGAATTTTGTTTATGCGCTATCGTAGGCATAGAAAGAGACAGAAATAAAAGGGGTAAGGTTGGACTGGGCTAGCGGAAACAAAGAGAAAGAGATAGAGCGTTATTCATAGTCAAGTGGTTTCGTACATTTTAGTGAATGAATGGATAATTAAATGGGTTATACATACATAATAAATTTTTGTAAGTGATTTGCGTCTTTTTCGAAGATCTTAGAACTTCTTGAGCTTCGGCCATTGACAAAAATATTTCAAGATTACGAAGATGGAACTTAGGTACATTTTTAGCAACTTTATATTAAAAATAGAATTCAACCTTTGAAATTTAATGAATTAAACAAAAATCTAATCTAATGAGATATTGAATGATATCAGTCCTAAAGTTCAAACAGATGTCGTATACGTAATAATTCTTATACAAGTATGCGTCATAGATACTAAAGAAATAAATATTAAATGTCTTAGCGAGCGGTTATTGATTATAAATCAGCATTAATCATGAACTGCAAAAATTTCCACAATAAATATGATTTTTAAGACATTTATGATCTGTGAGATCTATATGGCCTACATGATATTCATTATTAATATGATTAATTAGATACTTGCATTGCATTTAATACATATGTGATCTAAGTCGTATAGATATATTTATTATTGTTGTACATATATGTTATATGATAATCCATATGAAATATTCATTCATGCATTTTCAATGTCGTCCTTTCATTGTACTATAAATGCTCGCAAGCATACGGAAGGTGAGCGAGCATAGGTAGAGCGACATTTCCGCTCTTACAAATCCCAGTCCGAGTGCCGCTCTTACTACTTATTGCTATATAAGACTTAAATTATGTAGCATGATCTATAAGTTCTGTCTACTATCTGTGATAAATATTTTTGTGTAATCGTGTATATACCTTCTACATAAGCCAATGATCTTAAGATCTTTACAAAAAATGCAAATTCAATGCCAATGCTCTTTTTATGATCCCAATTGTATAGCATACATATTTAATCCCTTATCTCTGTCTCCAAATACATATATTGTATTAGAAAATATGTGAGCATATGCTAAGTATTTTTCCCCCGGGGCTCCATTGCTAGCTGTTACTACCTGACGCTGAAACTTTAATGCCGAATACCGCTCCGTTGCCATGGGAGAAATAATGAATATATTTTAAAGCACATTGCTACCCACATGTATGTATGTACATATATATACCTACATACATAAATATGTCTGGCCCCTGAGCTGATATGTGCTACGAGTGTTAATAGATTTTTTTTTTGGCACGCCGAAAAACAAGCCCCTCACAGCTAGCAAATCACATGGAACTAGAGCTGAGAGAGGGAGAGAGAGAGAGGGAATGAAATTGAGAGATTGGCAGATCGAGAGAGCGAGTGCAGATGATCTTATAAATATTTGTTTGCAAAAATTAAGCAAAACAAATCGAAGAGCTTGTATGTATGTATGTATTTATATATGTGTGTGTCTCTCTATATCGTCATGTTTTAAGTACATACATTATTTGCTGTTGCTTTTGTTTATTTATAAAATCCAACTGCGTGCGTCAATATCTGGCGGATACTGTTCCATTCAAATGAAAGCTGTCAATAATAAAATTTAATTTATTTATAAAAAATATTATAATTAAAAGAATAATTTGGCAGCAACAGCTGGGCTTTCCTCATTGTTAATACAGTCAGTTATTATCATTATTATTATCATTATGCATAATCACTTTCCCAGTTCAGTTCTTATCTCCCGCCGTTTCACATGACTCTGTTTGCCAAGCCCCCGATTTAAAAAAAAAAAAATTTATTTCGGACCTAAGAACAACAATTTCGTAAGCAAATCAAAAGTATTTAGAATTTATTTATTTTTTTTTTTTTGAGGCGTCTGCGAAAAAAGCTCCAAAAGAAAATAGAAGAAATAATCTATTCACTCTTATTTTTTTTTTAACATTATCAATTATTTGCACATTCAATTAGCAAATTGGGCTGAATTTGTTGTCAGGCAGTTGTTGGTTGTTGGACTTGCATTAGAGCTTGGACTTGGCCTCATCCACTGTTAGCTGATGTCACGCTCCAGTAATCCCACATCCATGGCCAGGTGTTCAATTACAATTTGCTCAGTAAATTGGATAAGACAATCTATTTTGAACTGTCTCGGGAATGGGTTTTAATCACTCCTGATAGCACGTCAAGTCGCTTAAAATAGCTTGCAAAAACACTTTTTAATTAAATGCTGATACATTTGAAACAAATACAAGAATAAGAAAGCGAAATTCATAGCAGACGAAATAACAGTGAATATTATATAGAGTCTGGCGTTAAGCCTAAATAGATTGACCCTTGGGAGGCGATGCCATTTTTGCTGTCTAGCCATATTTGGTTAAAAAGAATTGTCTTGGCCAGATTTCAAATTAAGCGTTAATTTATCAGGTGAAAATACTTTGACAGTTGCCATGTTTGGCTATTTATTAAAATTTAATTGGGTAAATGCGGAAGCAAAATGGGATCAATACGAAATACTATTTCTTTGGGTATACATGGAATTGTTAGATACAATTTAAGAAAAATAAAAATTGTAATTATAATTTTTTAATGTATTAAAATTTGTGTTCATAAGAAATTTATATTTAAATAAGATATAAATTTTAAAAAATATATATATGTTGTAAATAAATAAATCTAAGTTCTGCAGTCTAAAAGGCCATGCCTTTGTCTATTATTGCTGAAAAGCAGTTCACGACTTGAGCGGACTGTCTGTATAACAGTTCTATATAGTCTCTTTACTCATCTATCATCCGCACACTTAGCAAACAACAATTGTATCGTTCTCCTCCTTTTACTCCTTGGCTTAGCGAAGGGAAACAAAGCCAACGCTCATCTGCATAGCCATTGTCACATATTTGACAGCATCGACAGCAGCCTAAACAACTAAACAGATGCGAAATATTTGAAATATACTATATATGCCATATATACTATATGTATTATGCATATAAGTGCTCAAAATGGCAGCCTTGCTAGCAAAAGTTCGGCTAGAAAGAGAAGCTCGGCAAATGAAACATGATAGAAAATTGTACAACAAAAAATGTTTAGCTACAAATTAACAGAAATAAATCTAAATATAAAAGCCAACAAAAAACTTGTTAAAAGGAATAAAGTAAAGCGAGAATATGGACAACATCGATCAATTGTCCATTGTGGACCTGCTGGCATTCGACATGAACAAAGCACACTTTGAAAAATGTTACAAAATTTGCTCAACAGTTTATAAATTTTAATACTTTTCCATTATGTTTTATATTTGCGTGTCCGTTTGTCCACTAACTGTGAATGCTTGCCACGCCATTGCTGGCATGCTGAAGGTGAGATTAGCCCAAGTGGAAAAGTGTAGCAGCATTTTAGGAGCCCAGCAAATAGCTTTTAGATTGACCAATGACAGTTATGAATGAATGCTAGCCAAAGCCCATCCATGCCTCGTATATAAGTAGACCGTTATGTTGTTTACTTAGCATTTGCAATTCGATTCTCGAAATGTCGCAAACTCTGAGAACAATCGTACGTGAGCAACAAATAGAATAACTGTGAAAATATGTCAGGGATACGTGCTTGGCACCTCACATTACACACATATTTCGATTATTGTATTTATGCAGAATATGCTTTGTATATCTTCCAGAGAAAACTACGTACGCCGCCGTTGCTGAATTTGGTTTTTGCCAATCGTAAATTATCCTTCTACGACACCAGCACCGGACAGAAGCCCTGCGAGGAGAATGCCAAACTGTAAGTTCGCACACACTTGGCCACACACAAATAAGTCAAAGATATACATGCACACACACACACACACATAGAGATATATGTATGCGTATATATAAGACATTTCGCACTTACACAAAATATTCTCAAAAATATTTGATTTCGCATTTGGCACCTGCCTCAGGCCCAGCTTCCACGCCCCTCGGCACCCGCGCAGCTCTTGGGCCTCAGGGGGCTTGCCACGTGGCAAATATATAGTTGCTATATGTATAGGCCATTTCTAATAGATCACTTGGTGCTAGTTACCAATTGTCTTAACAAAGCTATTTCCATTTATAGATCGAGCTATTTTTAGGCTTAGCAGTTGATTTACACAATTAGCGATATTACAAAAAAATCGATGTGAATTCTAATATATATACATATATAATATAATATATAACGAATATGAACAAGACCAGAAAAGAGTCAAATAATATAATATATATTTATATACTTTTGCAAAAATATTTACCTTGCACATTTGCACGCATTATTTTGAGCAAATTGCTTCTTGTTTTTCTGCTATTTGTTTTTGCCTTTGCCTTTGCGTCTGCATTTGCTTTGGGCTGCATGCCAAAAGCAAATATAAGATATGAAAGATGTTTTTGTTTTTCAACAATTCATAATTGTTATATGATGCAAGGGATTGTGAAATTGCATGCACACAACTCTAAGATGCTCTGTTTTGTAAAGGATTAAATGAAGCTCTATCTATGTTGAATAGGATGGAGTTTCAACATAGAAATTGTTTTAAGAGGCGATTATGCCTAAGAATTTGAAATATGGGCGGGAAAGTAGAGAAAAGACATATAAGAAATAAATTTAATTAATTAAAAAATTAAAAATAGAAAATAAATAAAACAAATTTTTAAATAAAAAATCTATAAACAT